CTCATAAGTATAATAATAATTTTAAAGAATATGAGAAAGCAATTCAATTCCTAGAAAAAGGTTGTAAATGTGGATGCTCTACTACTCTGCCCAAAGAAAGGTTTGCCATCCTACGAGNCAGTTTTCAAAGGCTCACCTTTTTAGAAAAAGATGCTTTTGTCATGGGTCAACTTACTAACACTAGAGGAGGAGATGCAACCACTAGTTCTCGTTTTCCTAAGAAAGAACGGCTTAACCAAAGAAATTTTTACATTTTTGAATATAAAAAACCTATTTGCCAAGAAACTTTCCTCAACATGTTGGGGATAAGTCAAAAATACTTGAAAAATTTAAAAAAGCACTTGACAACCAAAGGACTTTCTACCAGAATTCATGGCAATACTGGCAAAATACCTATAAGAAAAACTAAAATGGTAATTGACCGAAAGGTTAAAAAGTCAGTAAAGAACTTTATCGAAAAACTTGCTGAAACTCATGGTCTGCCTAATCCCGGAAGAAGCAAAAGAGCAAACAATATAACTATATTCTTGCCTACTGAAATGAGTTATGCATCAGTTCGGCGGGACTTTTTAGCCAGCCGAGCAGAGAACGATAAATTAAAACAACTAAATTATGATGTTTTTCGCAGATTATGACATGAATTAACTCCTCAGATTGGATTTATGAAACCAAGAACTGATTTATGCGACACTTGTCATAAGTTAAAGAATGAAATCCATTCTTGCAAGGATGCAACAGTCAAGGAAGAACTAAAAAAAATTTCTTCCAACATAAAATCCAAGAGAAATTAGAGCGAGATTATTATAATTCTAACACCAAAAAAGCAAGAAAAGATAGAGAAAATAGCTGATAAACTTAATATAGATTTAAATATGTAATTATTATGAAGTGTAGTAAATGTAATAAAGAGTTTAATTTAAAACAACCAGTTTTTACTTATTGAATAGTTGATGGAAAAATGTATGATGAAAATTGTTGAATAGGGGTTGAAAGTCAATATAGAAGTAAAACTGCAACCAAAACAACCCATACATGAAACAATAGTGGGGGTTTTGATGATAGTAGTAGTTCAGAGGTATATATGTATTGAAATCCTGCTACTAACTTATGAGGAACTGAAAAACCAAGTAAACAAGATAATCCTAATGAAGATAATAATCCCAATCAATCTCCTAATAAAGGAATAGGGGCTGGAGCGATAATAACAATTATAGTAGTGATAGCATTGGTAGTGGGAATTGTAGCTTGAATGGTATATGATGCTAAAAAACAAAAAAATTAGAACAACGAGTAATATGAGGAAAGTATCACATTTAATAAGTGGTTGAGCTATTTTATACTGCCAACAATGCCGAAAGTTAATGAAACCAAAGGAGTTAACCAAGCAAGAAATAAATAATCTAAAACCAACCCTAGACAAGAGCCAATTTGATGAAAAGGATTGAAGGGATATGGATTTTTATAGAATAACAGCTAATATTTGTGATTGTTCGGTTTTAGATGGAGATGATGTAATAATGTTTGAAAAGAAAGAATTTAATTACATTAAGAAATGCAAATGTTCTTTGTGTGATAAAGAAATAGACCCTACCAGTAAAGAATTATATTGGGAAAGCAAAAAGGAATGAATAAAAGTTTGTGATGATTGCTACGATATTGAAAAATGTGAAATGTATGCTGGTTCTGATTTTTTAGGAACGAAAAGTGATTACGAAGCACTGATGAAAGATATGAAAGCTCCTCAACCGAGTGCTAATTTAGCTATGAGAATTATGTTAGATGGCAGACCACTCAAAGACCTTGATAATGTTAAACCTTGCCAAAATAAGTTTTTTATTATAACTGAGGAATTTACTGAATTAGTAGATAAAGAACTTAAAATGTGTAATGAACATTATAAGGAACTTAAAATGTATGTTAGAAAAAAGAAATAAGCAATCAAGTAATTATAAACAATCACATAACTATTTAACTTTCATAGAGTTAAAGGAGGTTAAACAAAACCTCGAAAGAACTAGATGGTTAGAAGAACAATTTCGTTCACTACTTTCCCAGTATAGTAGTATATTAAGTGAGAATAATGGACGAGACCATCAATATTTAACCAGTAAAAAGACTGAATTAGAAACGGAACTAAATTATGTCTGAAAGGATTATCAAAAAAAAAAAAAAAAAAGACTAGATAAATAAAACATGATTAGTTTCAATTAACACTGTGTGTTTTGGGACAAAATAAAACATGAGTTTTTAAATATGGGTCTAGTAGTAGCGACGGAGTTTTTTATTATGTTTTTG